TTATGTTATCCATACAAAAATTTAATTTTTTGTGACCGAACGAAAGGATATTATTGAAAACTTTCTTCGGCAATATTGTTCTAAATTATGGCAGGAATAACCTATATCAACGGTAGGCCTACACGATGCTCAGTTTAAACAAGTAGACGTTACCTCTCACTAGCGACTGCCTCAGTCGGTGTGCTTGGTTTGGAACTTCACCGCTTCGCTTCTTCTAGTGGTGTGACGCGAAGGGATGAGGGTGGTAGAAATATGTGTATATTCTTAGTAATCTTAGCCAATACAAATTAGAAGAAATTAATTTTTGTGACCGAACGAACGGATATTTTTGAAAACTGTCTTCGGCAATATTGTTCTAAATTATGGCAGGAATCGATTGGTAAATGTTTCAAGTCGCTAAGTGGTCTGATTGCCGAGATATGGGCCAAAAACTGCATTTTTTGGAGGTTTTTTGGCTTTTCCGGGAAATCCAGGAAGGAATTCCGGGAATTATTTTGGCCTATGTTCATCCTCGGAACTTGCTTAACATATTTGCTTTGAAACTAGTCCTCGATATTGCTCCGTTGAGGAGGAGATACGACTTAAAGCTGCGGACACGCTGCGGACACACATCCATCCATCCATCCATCCATCCATCCATCCATCCAGAAATGACGAGTTAATAATCGCAATCCCCCAGTATGGAAATAGCGCTAACAATCCCCTAGTATGGAAATTGCGCTAAAAAGTAAAGATTCATCTTTAACCCTAACGATCCCTTTGGGCAGTTGAAGTGTTCATATGTTTCTTGACCTCGGAATATAAAGGGATAATGTGGTCAGCACTATGCCCAGCCGAGTTAAGTGCCCATCAGAGTTGGGTGGACTCAGGGACGTTGCACTGATTTGACCCCGGATTCGAACTCGAAACTATCTGGTTATCAGTCTAGCGCCCCACCGCTAGGGGCCACGCCGACCCATTTTACTGTATGTTATGTTTTTTTATTCAATTACATGCACTGTGTGCACGACATCCATTTTCACACAGGTTCAACATTCCTATTCTTTTGTTCTAAATTATTGGCAATGCTTCATTGGGTATATTATCTTTACTACACGAACTTACCGCTAAATAAACCTTAATTACAATTTTAATACAACCCACCATGAACAACTTAATTATTGGCCTAAAATTTAATCAAATCTATAGATAAATATTGATATTCAACTCCGTAGAATGTCAGAGAGTCCACCCACCTCTAATATGTGCATGACTCACGTTCAGAAAGTAAAGGCGACTGGGCAGAGTGCTGACCACGATATCCCTTCATTTGCCGAGGTCAGTCTATAAATAGTGACGTCTCGCTTTTTTTTTTTTTCGATTTTTCACCTCTTATAAACTGACACATATCGTCACGCAAAGGCATGCAAACTCCCACCAAAGTGACGTCACACTCCCATCAAAGGGTCGATCAGCTATGCAAAGTGGAATTAAGCGCCCCCCCCCCCCCACACACACACACGAGTCCGCAAAAGTCGATTATTTCGGACCCACCCCACCGCTCTCTTCCGTGTGGACATCATGGATGAATGACCCCTTATTTAAAACTTTAATTGTTTCTAATCAATATTATTTTTTTGCTAAATGACGTCACACTCGTAGGGGGGAGGCGGTGTTTGGTAATTTTGTGACGGTGTGTGATGAAGGGGAGATGGAGGGGGGGGGGGGGTTCATATGGTGTGACACTACACGTTTTGCATTATTAAAAAAGCAATGTTAGAAAACGAATTTTAGCCGCTATTTCGCTTGTTAGAAACCTGTTTTAATGAATAGGAATCGATTAAAATAATCCATGTTGACAGAGTTCAGACAAGATTTTGGAAAAATATCGATGTTTTAAGCAAAATTCACCTTTTGAAGGTAAAGGGGTGGGGGCTGTAGGCTGAGGTGTAAAGCCATTTGAGGAGGGGGAGGCCTGACTTTTTGAGACGAGGGGAGGGGGGGGGGTAAAAATGGTCAATAAAAGAGTGACGTCATTTATGGATGACCCTTTAGATCCAATGTGTTATATTATGCGTCATTCTGCCATTCTGTTTTTCTTTACAACTGTACATTTAAAACGACGCGGGGTGGAAAATATGAATTACTGTTATACACATTTCTTTTTTGCGCATGTTTGCACCGCTAATGAACATGATACAGAAAGAAGAATAAAAGGGAAATTAGCGGAACTAATATCCTGGCCTAGAAATTACAAAATAATTTTATTTCTTGAATGATAAATTACTTTAATTATACTTTAGTACCTTTTTATTATTATTATTAACAAAACAATAGAACTGCATGTTTATATTAATTTTTCTTCCCTTTTAAAGGCTTTCTAAGAAAGATAGTTTTTAAATACTAAACTATTTGTCTTAAGCCATTTGATTGGCTTATAGACTTTTCGTATAACCAATGGTAGAGCATGATCTAAATTTTCCTTGACTTCAATTGTTTCGCCATCGCTAAGGGCGCTCTACTGAAAACAGATAGCCTCTCCACTGAAGTTGGTGAAACTTTAAGCCTAGTTTTACTCTAAATTTAACCTTCCAAATGGTATCTACTTTAGACAAAATCGATACCATTTTAACATACAGATAAAATAAATCAGCGTAAGAAGGGTTGAAGGTTTAAAAAACATGATCTATCTTCACAAGCTGAGGACCTAGATCTATGGACTATGGTCTACTACTCTACCGTCAATCCAATGGCGGATTATACAGCGGAACATTGGATTTTTTTTACAACAAAATCGGGGGGGGGGGGGGGTTTGTGATGATTTTGTATACTAGTTTCCGATAATAGAATCTTCTTTTAAAAAGTTGTTAGGTTACTGGTAGTTAACTAAATACGCACATGGCTTGATAATGGCAATGGCAATGCTCACCCCAACCCTAGTCGTCTACACCTAACCCTAATTTCTAACCATAAAACTAGTCGAGATTACAATATTACTAACGACCTAACACACCTATTTTCGGAAGTCTATTATTGTTATCCTCCAGTGGCGTAGCGAGGTCGGGTGTCACCCGGTGCGGCACTTAATGATGTCACCCCCCCCCCCAGAGGCGTTGCGACCCTTCCCTGGGACAAACTTTCAAGTTTTCGATTTGCACCCCCCCCCCTCAAACTTTCGATCTGCACCCCCCCCCCCTCTCAAGTTTTTGATTTGCACCCCCCCCCCTCAAACTTTCCATTTGCACCCCCCTCAAGTTTTTCTCTATATATTTTGCTATTTTTTACCTTGGTGTCACCCCCCTAAATGGTGTCACCCGGTGCGGTCCGCACCCCCCGCCCCCCCCTCGCTACGCCCCTGTTATCCTCAACCATCCCAAAATCTGCCCCTTTCACTTTTAAAACAACACCACCTTATTTTGATTAGGGTAACTCAGACGAGGCCCCACACTTCGGACAATTCTTAATGGCGTTGCTATAGCTTACGTAGTTATATTGAATCAATTACTATCAACCCACCTAGATCTAGTTCAGAGGCGTAGCGAGGGGGGGGGGGGCGGGGGGTGCGGACCGCACCGGGTGACACCATTTTGGGGGTGACACCAAGGCAAAAAATAGTAAAATATATAGAGAAAAATTTGATTGGGGGGGGAGGGGTGCAAATCGAAAGTTTGAGGGGGGTGCAATTCGAAAGTTTGACGGGGGGGGGGGGGGTTGCAAATCGACAAAATGAAAGTTTGTCCCCGGGAAGAGTCGCTACGCCTCTGAGGGGGTGACATCATTAAGTGCCGCACCGGGTGACACCCGACCTCGCTACGCCACTGATCTAGTTAGTAAAGACTTGGAAATTTGCAGAAACTTATTGACACGAACTTGCACCGTTTAAATATGTATGTATAATTAGTAGATCTAGTTATTCCTTAAAGAAATAGTAACTGCATGGATGGATGGTAAAGCTCATGATTTTAAAGATGAGAGTCTCGAGTTCGTACCCCGGGCTCGAGTCAGTAGAACGCCCCAGAGTCCACCCAGCTCTGATGGGTACCTGACTCATGTTGGGGAAATTAAAGGCGGCTCGGCATAGTGCTGACTAAACTATTTCCAGGTCACAGAAACAGATCAACTCTACTTCATCTGCCTCATTTATCTTGGGCATGAACGAGAAAATATGATGATTGCAATAGTTTTGTATATTAGTAATTGTTACAGATATGAATACTACTTAAATCTTTATCCTCTGTGAAGGTGGATGCGTGACGTGTTTTTACATTGATAATCTTCCTTATCCTGCGTATTTCATAAGGTAGGAAGGTGTTTTGTTCATTTAAAGTAGGGAGGGGGTGTATGTTTAATAAGGTAGGAAGGTGTTTTGTTCATTTAAAGTAGGGAGGGGGTGTATGTTTAATAAGGTAGGAAGGTGTTTTGTTCATTTAAAGTGGGGGGGGGGGGGGGCGGGTGTATGTTTAATAAGGTAGGAAGGTGTTTTGTTTATTTCAAGTGGGGTGGGGGTGTATGTTTCATAAGGTAGGAAGGTGCTTTATTATTCATTTCATGTGGGTAAGGGGCAGGGGCGTAGCGAGGGGGGGGGGGCGGGGGGGTGCGGACCGCACCGGGTGACACCATTTAGGGGGGTGACACCAAGGCAAAAAATAGCAAAATATATAGAGAAAAACTCGAGGGGGGGTGCAAATCGAAAGTTTGAGGGGGGGGGGGGGTGCAAATCGAAAACTTGAGGGGGGGGGGTGCAAATCGAAAGTTTGAGGGGGGTGCAAATCAAAAATTTGAAAGTTTGTCCCTGGGAAGGGTCTCTATGCCTCTGGGGGGTGACACCATTAAGTGCCGCACCGGGTGACACCCGACCTCGCTACGCCACTGGTAAGAGGTGTATATTTAATAAGGTAGGGAGTTTTTTTCTCCATTTCAAGAGGGAAGGGTGTGTATTTTTAATAAGGTAGGAAGGTGTTTTGGTTATTTCATGTGGGGAGGGGGTGTATGTTTAATAAGATAGGAAGGTGTTTTGTTTATTTCTTGAAGGAAAGGGTTGAGGCGGAAGATTTAAACAGAAATGATCAAGGCTTTGACTAGCCTGGTGCAATGTTCTCTCGAAGCTGCGCAACAGATATTAAGATATGTCACACTCCTTAGGGTGTGGGTGTTGGGAACTTTGTGACGGGGGGGGGGGGGGGGGAGGGTGAGAGGGAGGTAGGGGTTGAAAAATTTTGACGATACACTTTTGCAATCTAAAAAGTAATGTTAGAAACTGTATTCTAGCCGTTATTTTGCGTTTTTTATATAACGTTTGTATTTTTTAAAAAAAAAAAGATGACTATACTTAATGATGACTACGCACTGTTAATATATGAGAAAGAAATCCATGTTCTTTAAAAAATGAATCTTCATATTTAAGGGGGGGGGGGAGGTTAACGTGTGACGTCAAATCAGGTGGGTCTAGGTTATTAACACCCCCTCAGAAATGAGTATTGTGATGAGAATTTTACGTATAAAGAAGAACTGGAAAAATACATGAACAAAATGAAAAAATAAAATTCGCAATCATATCAACAATAATTAAAGTTGCGAGATATTTTTTCGTGAGTATCGTTTTGGCTAATATTTTAAAGTCTGTAATGAGTTTTTAATTTAAACAGTCGCGTTTTTATTGCCCTCTGGATTTATTTTTCTTTTGGATATTTAAACTCCTCTGTTTTGAAATAAGCGAGTGCTTAGAACTATATATTTTCTTTCAGCAAAATGTCCACGTATAGGCCTACATTTTTAAAAATTTTGAATACAATACAAAGAGTCAGAAAAAGGAAGAAAACAAAAATTAACAAAACGTATGTTTAAACTTATTTGCAACTTCTTAAACGAATACGAGCCGGTGTGGTCGGGTGTCAGAGCCATCCACTGTTAACTCGAAACCCCCCCATAGACACCTCGGTATATATATATATATATATATATATATATATATATATATATATATATATATATATATATATATATATATATATATATAAAGTATGCAAATCGAAAGTTTGAGGGGGGGGGGGTGCATATCAAAAGTCTGAGGGGGGTGCAAATCGAAAGCTTGTCCCCGGGTAAAAATTGGAACCCCCCCCCCCCTTGAGACGATCCCTGGCTACGCCACTGTAAAGGGCTGGCCACACCATCCGTTTATATGCCGAGCTCAAGAAACATATGAACTCTACTTCATCTACTCAACAATATTTGAACATTAAAGAAAACGAGGATGGACCAATTCATGATAGGCAAACAGAATACTTTTTAATTTAGCAACCTTCTGTCATTTTTTTAAAACCTACTTCATTGATAGTTACTTAAGATTTGACTGACAACTAACACAAAGTAGACTTCAAAGCAGTAAGCTAGTATTAAATATCCGTACGCACTAGAAAACAAACGACAATCACCGGAACAGTCTAACGACGAAAATAAATTTTGAAAGCGGTAAAAAAAAGGTTCAGGCAAACTGTGAGATTCGGATGTCCCGAAATATAACGGATTTTTGTCAACATTTCTCAATGCAACCTTATGTTGCCTGTCGCGTTTTGCTTCTTCTTCATCTTCTTAGTTCTTAATTGTAATAATGATGGGGATTTGCTTCTATAAAATTAAGTAATTCTTTTAATCGTGTTATGCGTTAAATGACCCATTGACTCCGGTTTCAGCCTGCTTTTCATCCTGGGTATGCTTCCGTGGAAAAAAAAAAACAATCTGCATGGCACCAGTTCCTTCATTTTGAAGTTTTCTCTCCACGATGGGCTTGGGTCTTGAACCTTACCCACCGCCCCCCGTTAATTTACAGCCCGGACATTCCCCCCACCCCTTTATCCCAGGGGGCAATTATCCACTGTCAATTCCCCCCACCCCCGGAATTACCCCCCTCTCCAAAGCTCAATAATCCTGACTCCAACTCTAGACCTATATATTACCTTGATCCTAACCTTAAGAAAAAGCATTCGCCTCAGCCTAAACCCAAACTCAGCCCCAACCCTAGACATTAGTTTAAGCCTAACCCTGACCCTAACACCAACCTTAACCTTAACTCAAACTCTAGCCCTAACCTTAACTGTACCTCAAGTTGTGACCGGGGGTAATGTCCTACTGGGCGGAGGGGGGGGGGGGGTTATTGACAGGGGGTAATTAACGGGGGGGGGGGTTATTGACAGGGGGTAAATAACGGGGGGGGGGAATAATTACTCCAGGTGATAATGTTGTGGGGTTATGTCCGGGGAGGGGTGGGGGTAATTGGAACAGATGGTAGTGCCCTGTTCCCATTGTCCCAATCTTAAGAGCCTCGTCTGAACTCGGGACTTTTTGGAGTTGGCAAACAAACGCTATCCCGCCACACCACGCCATCCCCTTGCATTTTACCTTCTTTTTTTATTGATTACCATAACTCAGATTAGAAGCTTCCAGAGTTTCTTCCAGGCGTACCCCCCCTCTCCCTCCTCCAAGAACGAAGAACGTCTCCCCCCTCCCCCTTTCGCTCGAACGAAATAGACTTTAAATAGGAAATATACACTTTTACCAGTGTCTGCCCGTTCCACACCCCCCCCCCCCCCCATCCGACCCCCCGGAAAATTGAGTCCGCCCCCCCCCCCCCAACCGAAAACTTCAAGTGCCCCATCCATCCCCCCACCCGTAGAAAATGTCTAAAGAAACACTGGAAGCCTCACACTTTTGGAAAATTCTTAATGGCTTAGCTGTAGCTTTTGAGCCAAACTAAGATTATTTTTTAATGACTAATAACTTGTTCACCTGATACACCTTCAATGCTGCATTGTTTTTCAGAGAATGGTTGTGAGAATCTTCAAGGCAGCAGGTTTTGTGTTCCTGAGTGTGGTGCTTCTTGTCGTAGGGAGAGTCCTTTCTACCGGCATGTGGAAGGAAAGACAAGAGCGGTAAGTAGGATCTTTTTCAGATAAGCCCGGCCAAAAAAAATGTTAACCCCCGCCACAAAGAAGTTTAGTAAAAAAGAAGATGTGAAACTTGTACTGTAACTTGCTTTAACAAATGTGAAATCAATACATGTCGTTAATAATCTGTTTAAAAAGGTCTGTTTTTCGGTACCTTAAACCCTAATCTCCAAA